GAAGCAAGGTTTTGTGATATGTAATAGAATTTATTCAAGATTTGTAGATAATTTGGAAAACTACTTAGCAATCATCTACTTGAAAGCTTTGTTTTTGTTGTCTTTCTGCCTAATTTATATGCATATCTGCCTTTGCATGTGTGTCTGGGAATTGGGCAAAACAGGTGACGGTGCTGGCCGTCGACCAGGGCAAAACGCGGTTGACCGGCTCCACTCTGGTCAACGTGACCATTACCGACGTCAATGATCACACTCCGCAGCTTCTGCCTTGCGCTCCGGCCCCAGTAGCTGGCAGTCCCCTCGGCGTCAATCAACGCGACTTCGTCTTCCTCGGCGCTGAGGGCAGGAACGGCCCAACCGGTGCTGGCGGCTCGACGACGACGGAACGAAGGCAAAATCAACTGCTTGTGCGCGAGAACGCCGGGCCCAACACTTTCATCGGCCAACTGGTTGCCATCGACGAGGACGTTGGTCTGAATAGTCAAGTGACCTTTGAACTGCTCGGCGACTATTACTCGGCCTTGGCGGGTCGTTTTCGCCTCATGCGAAACGGATCACTGTACACTTCTCACAAACTGGATCGCGAGGAGCGTGTGAGTATACCGGGGATCGTTGCTCTGCTTACCTGGCAACTTCACTATTTCACCCTCTCCCCTTTTTCCTCACACTCCCTGCCATCTTTGGCCTTTCCTCAACCTTGGAGGATAGAAGTGAACGACGACGATTTAACCAATTTCCTTCACTTTGGTCCTGATTAAGGTCACACCTACGCTAATGGTCAGAAATCCTAATGACTCGTGATCGTAGTCGTTGTTCCCCTTAACTCGTTTGCCCTTGGGACAAATCTTTCTGCTCCTTTAAAGTTGCTTTGCCTATCATTATCGCACATACAAATAGACTCACAAACGCACGCACGGATAGAAACTGAGAGATAAGAGCTGTAGTGACAAGGTGATGAAAGACCGGTAGTTGAAATCTCCAAAAATCATACAAATGGACCTCTCGATTGTATTGGATTTCACATAGCCCAGCCTTTCTGAAGTTAATTTCCAGAAAGGCCAAGACTTTTTTTATAGCACATGTGGCAGGATTATCAATCGAATAGACTACTAATTCTCCGTTTATACGTAGGTTTCCGAGACCATCATTAGACTTGATATAAGTCGATGATGTCGATTGCTTTAGCAAACCCAAACTTACTTGTTTCGTAAGTGGGTAGGTTTTCGAAACTACCAGTAAATCAGCCTATTTCGTTTAAGGTGATTTAAGTAAGGCTAATATTTTTCACTGTTCTCATCCAGCGGGAGTGGAACCATGACAGTGCTTGGGTTGTTGATGAGACCTATGCAAGGTCAAAACTTCGGCCCACTTCAGCCTGGATGAGAACAGCTTTTGAGAAATTCAATGGAAACATCAGATCAACTCGGATCATTGTGGGGAAAATCAACTACTCGTCCTTCATCACCTTGACGAAATAGAGTGAAAACAACTCGTATATCCGATTTACTGGTTAGTATCGAAAGCCTATTCCCTCAGGAAAAATGTAAGGCCGACGATTGCTACAGCAAATGTAAGTATGCTTCATCGACAATCCCAACACAGAATGTGAAATGGAAATTCACATCTGCCCTGTGACCCAGGGGCACTCGTGGCAATGTGACTGAGTGGCTGACCTGTCAAGCTCAGATGCTGCACTTTCACGGTTCGACTCCCGCTGGAAATGTTGATAGGGTCTATCCGAGATTGGAGCTGCAGCCCAGAGTGAATGCAACTCATACAACCTTACTAAATCTGCAATCCTAACACGGAATTATTATATGGGAATGGTCTAGAAAGCCTACCTATTTCTTGTGACCAGATTTTTCATATACTCCTACAGTCAAAAGTCCTCGGCAATCAATTCTCTTTAGGTGTCTTTTGAGGCAAATTTACGAGTCCGCTCCATTCACCTTTTCAACAAAAAAAGAGAGTTTCGAGATGTGTTGCTGTCTGGCAAACAATCATAAATTATTTGGACCCTTCGATCTGCAAACTACTTTGTCAAACCCTTATCCGAATCTACCTCTTTAGTGAAATAGATGGAAGGACAGAAGGAAAATTGATGGTCAAGGGACGAACTTCACTTGTCCCTTCGACGAGTTGTAGCCTGGCTTTGAGAATGGCAAGACTCACCAATGATGCCGGCGAAACGTATAGAAAAGTTGCAAATTCACGATCCACTGCTGGGAATTATCATGAGTTCGGACAAGGTGTTTTCATCCATGTCCCCTTAACAACACGACCAAGTTGCGAAAGCGAGGTCAAGTCAGTCCTGTGACATAAATAAAGACCACATATCGCAGATGAAAGATTAGCAACATTTTACGGATGAGTTAATCGTATGGACTGTAGTTTCGACCTCGCTTAGGTCTCATCCGCACGCTAGCGGCATTCGAGACTGGGTCGTAGGACTCATGAGCGTGTTACCATTTCACTCTGCCAAAGGGTCACAGGGCAGATGCTGCATTCATAGAAAGCCAGACATCTCCCAATTCACATTTGTATAGTGGGATTGTCGATTAAGCAAACATGTGCTTTCAATTCGCCTCAGCGACGTTACCTGTTTTCGATAAAAGTCGGTTTCGAGACCATTAGCAATGCTTTAGTATGTACTTATTCAGCCCAGGACGGGTAGGACGACTAGCTTTTTATTCAAGCGACATCAGACCAAGAAGAACCTGCAATCGACTGTTGGTAGGATCTAATTGTGAATCTCGCCTCCACATACTTTAACACAAAACACTGACATGCAAAGAGACCCCTTGGAGTGTAGTCTCTCTACACGTTCTCGACTGCTTGTCTCTTCCGAAAGCCTCCTTCTAATCCATTCCAATGGCATTCTGGCGCTTCTGTGTGTCTCCGACCTACACGGACACACTCACATGCACACACAAGCCTGCACGCATACAGTCTCTCGTAAGCAACTAGCCGCCAAGGTCCACCACATTTGCATCATATTGACCCCGAGCATTGTTCGCTTTGATGGTCATTTGGATTTCACTGAAATCGCTTCCAACAGTACCCCGGCGGGACTCGAAACCGGCATACCTTTTAACGATAGATCTGACGCTTAGATTTCTCTTCTCTTCACGCTATCCCCTCCTCTCAGGCAATCTACCACCTTCCGGTACGGCTCCGGGACATGGCCCCGGTGCACTCGCTTTCCTCGACCGGAACGATTTGCATCTACGTCACCGACGAGAACGACAACTCTCCGCAGTTCATCGAGCCGGCCGAGCTCTTTTCTTTGAGTGAGTTGCGGATAGTCGTGATGAGTGTCTGCTTGTTATCCAACCACCAATCAGCCTTCGCCAACTCTAGAGGGTTTATCCTAAATCACAACTTCACGGCTCGAGCCCCGCAGGAGGCAGAGTCGACACGACAGTCCAATCTGGAAGAGAAAGACCATCTGCGACTCAGAGCAGAGTGAAATAAAGTCTGTGCTCCAGTCAAACTGGTATCAATCAGACTCTATTTTGTTTAAGGTGATGATGGGCTGCAAGCTGAATTTTCCCACAATCCACTAGACGTCACAGACTTGCTTCCAAAACGCTATTCTCCTCCAAGCTGAAGTGGATTGCAGTTTCTTTCTCTCCTGCGTCTCACCAGTAAGCAAACATGAGGCCTATTCATGGGATTGTGGGAAAATGCAACTAGCAGTCCATCATTATTAAACATGAAATCGGGTGGATACAGCTCTTATAACTGATATTCACTGAAGATTCTACCTCTTATTCAGGGATCTATGAGAACGTTTCATCTTCTGGGACACCTTGCAGGAGGACCCTTTGACCTTTGTCAGTAGAACGAGTAGTCTGCAGGGCGCAACACATACCGGCAGCAAAATCTGTGACTATTAATTGGCGTTGAAGAGGAAGATGCGTCGCTTAAAGTGTCGGCAGACTAATGAAATGAGTCTCACGATGCTACTAG